ATGTCGTTCTTATAATACTAATAATAATGTTATACTTATTTTAGTTTAAGCTTTAATATAAATTGAACACTGACTTTAGCTTTTACTTATTTCTTAGATTCATACTTGTGGTCTTAGCACAATATTGATATATACACAAAGTAAAAAAAAAATTCTGCTATGGAACTTCCTGCTCTGGTTCTTTCTCATAAAAAATCAGATTTGAAATCTACGAATACATATTATTTGCTGGTTCGCCGGATAATTCTTATACTACTAAGTTTATTTTATTGAAATTCTGTTATTCTGCGAATAAAATATTTATTTGAATTCGTATTAATTTCTGCTCAATATACTTTAAAAATAAATCGAGTTTTAATACCATGGTTTAAAAAGTATTATCATTTGCGAAATAAAATTGCTTACAACGTTTATTGTTTTTATCAAAATAAATACCTTCTTCTTACTTCCATAACTTTGACAAGATTTATTAAAGGGAAATCCCAGTCAAACAGCTTATCTGTCAATATCCTGTGACTGACTGTACTAGTCACAATTTTAGATATATTCTGTCTTTACTTCCACCAAAAACTATATTATTTATTTATTTCTATTTGAGCCAGTGCACTTGAACACTTTTACTCTTTCTTAACTCGAGATATTTTCAAAACCCCTCTTTATGCCTTGACTGGATTATTGTTTATCACTTTCTCAGACTGAGCAATAATTGACCTCAGATCTGCATACCTCCCAGAGGAGCCTGTAACCATTCTGAGATTTGATAACGCGGTATTGGTAAGCCTGTCAGTTTTCGCAAATAATTTCAGAAATAAAAGAAATATGGCTATATCATTAAGTTATGAAGAAATTAACTGACAACAATATAGGCTATAACTATTATTCTTATTGAAATTGGATGTGGGATGTGGCATGTGGCACTGTAACCATCGAATCTCTTGTTAAACCCCCCCCCTCCCCTTCTTTAAACCAGTTTCTAGACCCTGTTCCGTCAATAAAAAATAGTATAGAACCTACTTTAGAGAGTTATCTTCCTTATTCCGTAAAAGTGTGCATTCACCACGAGTATATTCAGTATGTGCATGAGCGTAGCACGTTCTAACAATACATATGTGGCTGACTCTTCATTCTCTTCGTAAAATCTACAATTTGCATCCGTATATATACCCAGTCTCGTAAGATGGTGTTTTTGTTTACAGTGCCATGTTAAGAATTCGACACCTAGTTCGACACCTGATTTGATTCGACGAGCAGGCGTAGCTTATCAAGGCATTCTTGTACCATTCTTGAAGTCACCTAATGCTAGTTGAATGCATTGATAGCCGCTTGGATGTCTGTCAGTATTGCGATACTTTTTCCCTGGTATTTTCATTCAATAATGAATAAAAATATGTACTTAAATTTTACGTAATGTATAAGTTATAAGGGTAAGCTGAATTTTTTTCGGGATTTTGATTACAGGAACCAGTTAAAAACCTGATTTGTAAAAATTTTGATTGACTTGAATGAAAATATAAATATTGTCATAATATTTATTGACTTTCTAATGGTTTTTTTTTTCCAAGGAAGTTTCTGACAAAAAACTGTTTTATTACTACTTTTTTAAAAAACAACGATCTGTGTTATATCTGATGAGGAAATCCACCTTAGACTTACAAACCTCATTTCAGTATTGAAAATGTTTATCCTATGTGTTCTATATAAGAAATATAGCACTTTTGGTTAATTTTGATGCTATTGAACTTCTTGTTGCGCTGCTAGTAAGCACTTTTACTCGTTTTTTTTTGGTGCCACTTTTGTGAAATGATTCGTGTATTCATTCTTGATACTTTTTCAACTATTTTTGATACTATTAGTTAGCATTATTCCTTCTTTTTGGCACTTTTGTTCCAAAAGTATTGTGTTATTGTGCTGGTCGTTAGCACTTCTACAATTTTTTTTTTTACAAACAAAACATTTCCCGCTAAATTTGTATCATTCTTAGTTAAAGCAACATTTAACTGACTCCAAAACATCTACCAAAACATCCGCTTCAGTTTCTGTTTTCCGCATTTTTGCTACGGGTCGACACATTAAACCGGCAGTCTCATCCATTTCGTAAACATTACCGCCTGGTACCTGGTTTCTGGATCACATATGCCATCAATAAAAGCGTCAATTTTACTCTTCTCCATAAAGTCACTACAGCTACCAATGTACGCCAAATCACATAAACGTTCGATATCCACGGAATACTCCTGAAGCCGTGTTAACGTCAGCATTAGATACTTTAATTTTATGCTCTTAATTAAAAGCATAAGACACTTTTTTTAATTGAGATACTTTAATCGGTGTTTTTCACCTATTTTACAACTCGGTAGTAAGGTCATCTTACTGATTTTAAATCACTATAGTAGAGTTAACTTAATGACAATGCAAATTATTATATCTATGCATTATTATTATATATATAACAGTATAATTATTAATATTATTATACATATATTATTAATTATATTTTATTGTATGTTATAATATATTATAACAGAGTTAGACGATTAATGAACTACCAGCTAAACAGGTATATCAAACAGGTATATCAGTCAAACTAATACTGCCAACTATGAGAAAATCATTCAAATGACAGCTGCTGATATTGTTTACAAGCTATGACAAACATTTGAGTCTAAGTTTTATAGAACAAATGTTATTCGAAATGGAACTCAAACGTAGAAGTGTGATTGGGTTATATTTGGCTAGAAAGTCACAATCACAACCAGCTATTGTTCGTGAGCTCAAACACCTCAAAGTGAATAAAATGTGTATGTGTTATACTATAAATCGTTATAATAGTATAGGCAGCATCGCCAAACGCCATAGTGATGGACGAAAAAATACAGCAATATCACCGGAGATGATTCGAAAAGTAAAGGCGAAAGCTCGACTTAAACGAAATCCACGTCATAATGGTAATCAAATGGTCAAAAAACTTAACATATCCCAGCGAAGCATTCAATGCATATTCCAAAATGAGCTCAAGATAACAAGCTTATATCTTGCAACTTTCAAAAGGCATAAGATCACATACCAAAGCAACAAACGTGTCGAATTTCCAAATATTGTGTGTTCTAATGAGAAAAATTTCCCATTTTACAGTTCATAAGCTCTCAAAATAATCGTATTTACTTAACTGAATGCACTGCTGAAAATTCGAAACTACTAATGGCCACCTGAAGTAATTTTTCATCTCAAGTAAAGGTATATCCAGCTCTCCATATCGTTTCATCCATATCGTATCGATGAACACTCTCCAATCATTTTCATCGAACCTGATGTCAAAGTCAATGCGATTTATTATCGGGAAAATGTCTTGGAAGTAACTTAAGAGCCGTACGCACACAAATATTTCTGTCGTAGACCATGGACGTTTCAACAAGATTCGGCACCGTCTCATAAAACACCGTCTCATATGAACCAAGAATGGTTAAAAACTCATTTCCCATTTCCCTTGCGAATTCATCAGATGCAAATTTGATGTACTATTTCATCTGAGCCATTTGGAGAGCAAGGTGGGCATTGAAAAATATGCCAGTATGGATGCGCTGAGGAAACCTATTGTTCAGGAAGATCACATTCGTCAAGTATGCAACTCATTTTTCAATCGTTTGAAGGGCACAGTCAAGGTTGCCACACCGAACTGAAGTGAATGGATTCTGAAATGTTGATTATTTGCACAAATTTTTGTAATATGAGTCAATAAAAAATAATATCACACCAAAAAGATATGGTCGCTTGAAAAGGTAACACTTTAACCGCCTAACACTGTATATACCATATATGTTATTACTATTATATACTATATTATGACAATGTTATTATTAGTAATTATATATTATTACTGATGTATATATATATATATTGTTAAGATGGAAAAGCAGTTATATCCATCATGTTTTGCTCTTCCTACTTAATACCGATACAATTCATACTAGTGATACAATGATCCTAGCTCTTATCATCAAATCAAATGCCATATACATATCATATCAGTTCGTCTCTGTGGTGAAAAAAAAAAAAATTATATGAGAAATTAAACCATTGAAAAACCTTGGCATACAATTAATTTGAGTTTTGAATAAACAAACAAAATCAGCAAAAAGAAAAGTGTTAACGTTACTGCCGTAATAAATTCCGAAGCTAAATATGGACAAAATGAAAGGCATTAGCTCGTCTTGGATAAAATTAAATCGACTGCATGAAATTTCATCTCTAAAAAGTATTTGAAAATAAAAATGAGCGCTTTTCGTAGAACACAAAATGAGCTGCAAAGAAAAGTAGCTGCACCGATTAATAACAAAAACATGTCAGCAGCATAATTTTATCTATAAAACAGAAAATAAATTTGATAATTAAAACTAAAATGAAATAAAGTATTAAACATAATACGAGTATAACGAATGCGAAATTCATAAATTGCACTTAGCAGTGGAGTGCGACGTAACGTTAATTAATCGTCCATGATCAATGAAGATGCTTCAAACATCGGTTTTGCGCACCTAACACTCAGTAGCCAACAACAATGCCAGTAATGCCAGTAATACCAACAACAAGAGACGGCGTAGAAATATAGATTGCTGGCAGTCGATAGTCTGAAGATTCCTCACAATGCATTTCTCTGCTTGTGAAGCACGCCAATATTTTCCAAACGAGTGATTCTATGCAGGCGCAGACGCAATTTATAAAAGCAAGAAATTAGTCGAGATTTCGCTACAGTTGCATTTAGAATCCATACAGGTGCTAACAGATTCAGCTCGGTGCTTTATAAAGCCAGACTTAACTAAAAATCCAAACGGTTTTGTGTTTAATTGTGTTTAATTTTTGAAAAAAGAAAAAATTTAAGTTTAAAATAGAAAAGATATTAAATCAAATCTCAAATACAAAACCTATTGTTGCTTTTGTACAAAAGTTACGAAAAAAAAAAAATTCAAAACGCGCGGTCAAGTTTCCAGCCGAACACAGACGATATGGAGTATCAAAAAGCATTTCTACTAAAGTTATTTAAGATTTTTACAATCCTTTTATGCTTTGCAACAACAAATGCTGACCATCAACAACAAAGGTTTAGAACAAACACCGCAACAACCACCAGTACAACTAGCACGGCTAGTACACATACGTCCGGTTGGCTGGGCCCCGAACTAACGATTGTACGTCGTGTTTATGACGATTGCTTGGATAAAACCGATTTTATTGCTTGCCTAAAGCAAAAGGCATTGCAGGCACTTTCACGTGCACTCGAACAGGACACTATTAAAATTGTGGATGGGCTTGTATTGGAACGTCAGAATCACACGGAGACACAGAGCATCATCGATGCTATCGCTGACGGTCGTACTTTCCAACGTTTACAGTCACTAGATCGCGCACTACTCACTCAAGCTGATAAGCTTGTGCGTACCCATGCGCTCAAGATTGACATGAGCGTGGGACGTCAAGAAAAAGGAAAAAAGGGTAAGAAAGGAGGTGGGCATGTTAAGTATGTCATAGCTGCTCTACTTACCGCCATGGGTATTGCTGGACCAATCGGATTAAAAGCACTTGCCGCTATTGCTGGTAAAGCATTAGTCATCAGTAAAGTGGCACTCACAATTGCCGGCATTATAGCTCTCAAAAAACTATTTTCGCATGATCACCACGAGGAGACCAGTTTTCAGGTGCATGCTGGAGACCACAACAGGTAAGAGCAATACCAGCGGTTCCTCCACTGTTTAGTTTGAAATTTATTTCCAATTATTTCCAATTTTATAAAAGCAAAAAAAAAGGAATAACAAAATTTTAATACAAAAGTTCAATTCTTGAAACTATGTGAAATCTTAGGTATGAAGAATCGTATAGTATATCCACTATTATGTTTCATCGAAATAGTAAATAGTAATAATATAATACCTGCTTATTTTATAATAATAAATATATAATAATTACAACTTTAAATATAATTATAAATATGTTTTAGTTTTCTCTGTTCTTATAAAAATTTTATTATATTATTTTTAGACGCAGCACCTATGTTATACGTCCTATGAATAAGGCCAGTTCTGTTCCAGCAGCTGCTGCTAGCGCATCAGTGGATCCATACCGTTATTATTATGAGTACCATTAGTTATATATCTACATACATTCGCGCGGCATTACGGCCGAACGCTTGCAATTTACTTATTGTAAAGAAAGTCCCTTATATATGTATATTTTAAATTTATTTTTGTTTAAAATCAAGAAAATTAAAACAGCTAATAAACCAAAGAACTATACTCTCTATAATATACTAATATTTACGTATCTAATTAATAATCGACTACACTTAAGATTCATAATTGTTAAAGGCTTATAAAAAATTTTTAAAAACAATTTAATAAAAATGCATTAGTTATTATTCACTTTTTTGCCCTTCAAATAAATATAAATAGTTGTTTTCGGTGAGGTTCGGTAAAGTACAGAGAAATTCGGGACTAACAATCCAGAAATTGCAAAAGCAACAGAACATCATCTAAATAATTTTGGAATGATTTTTATATTAAATAATAAAAAATTTTAAAACCTAAATAAACAGAGTGTTTAAAACCTGACCTTAATCCATTGCAACGAAATGAAACTGAAGTCTTACAGCAAATTCAATTCAATGAGTATTTACTGAGTGATGAGAGTAAATAAAAGGAGTTATTTTTAAATAGAAAAGCATACCTCAAGAAGAACAGGAAAATCTCTTCTATATCTATATATGTATGGTAAGTAATATCTTTTAATAAGCACACATTCATACGAAACATAATCCATCATCTTAAGTAAATTTTTTTAATATTAACTTTCGCATTGTGATATTTACAATCTAGTATGAAATATTTATCTTATCCATATATAAAAATGAACTACTTTTGCTTAGAATCAAATATTATATGCTTAATTAAATATCGGTAGAAATCACAGAACAACTGTTCCACATATATTGCATACCCTTAATTAATCGTTAAAAATAAATCAATAGAATTAAAACCTATTTATCAAAATAAATCAAGTTATAATGAACCTATTTACGGCCGTTAATAGTTGGGATAGGGATAGCTTACGATGCTCTAGGGTTGTTAGAAGAATATTTCTTTGTAATCCTGAATCTTCTCGTAATATAATTTTTAACCACGTATTATTTTTGATTTATTTTCTTTATTATTTTTTAGTTTAATTTCTTTATCTTTACAATATATATTTTTAAGGTATATAGTTTTAATACTTATTAACTACGAAAATTAACTACAATAATATTATAAATAATATAATTCCTGAAATAGGAAAACGATTAGTATATTCGAAAGGGTATCCAACGTTACCGACTGGGCTACGCTGGTAGTTTGGGGATCAAAGTTACCGACTGGGCTACGTTGCTAAGAATCAACGTAACCGACTGGACTACGCTAGCAGGTTAAGAATCAACGTTACCGACTGGGCTACGTTGCTACGAATCAGCGTTACCGACTGGGCTATACTGGTAGGTTGGGGATTGCTAGTTCTATGAGTTCAAAAAATGATGAATTTTAAATTGAAAGAAAGTGACAATTTTAAGCCAAATCTAACATAATTTGTTTTTACGTTAGCCACAGTTAATTCCAGTCTAAACAATCAAAAAACAATTCACAACTATATAGAAACCATTTTCATTTCAAGGACCAACAAAAATTGATGATATAAAATGATTATAACCGCTAAAGACTAAGAAGAATGGAAGTGATTTCATCCAACAATAACCAACTATAAGTGTGTAAGTTAAAATTTTAAAAGGATAATCAAATCAAAATAGCAAATCAAAAGGAAAAACATGATCTTAATCATTATAAAACATTCAATTTACAACGATTCTCTCAGCTACTTCTTAACTGAAAACTCCTGCACCAGGTCCCACAAGCTCCAACTCTTCATTTAAAGAAATTCGTCAAATGTCTCTATAATACGGTCTTTAAACTTCCGCTGGAGAGCGTAATATGCTAATACCGTCGTTTTACCGTCAGCTTCAAAATCTCTCTAACTTTGTGTTGTAAATTTTAGTTATTTTCCAAACCACGCTGTCGGAGGGGCATCTATGTTTCAATTCATATAAACCTTATTTTGTACTGTCTAGTAAATGCACAAACCCATTTCCATAATCCTTTTACTTATTCAAGCGCTCTCTGCAGTTATTTTTTATAAGCTGGATCGTGTATGGCGCCAGGGTGCATTTTTAGCTGTGTTCAGAACCTAAATGTAAATGTCATCTAGTGGTTACTGGGACATCTGACGTTATATTAGCAAAATGGTATTTTGTGGCAAACTGTACACAAATATTTAGTCGCATCTCAAACCTTAAGCTTAATAATAATTCACCGTCCTCTGGTTTTCACTTCATTTGCAAAAGCTTAGTACAATTCTAAACCAAAAGTTCGGTTGCCATACTGACATCTGTATATCAATATCTGCTTTGAAATATTTTATTGTCCCACAAAAAAAACTTCATAAGTAAATCACCTGGTTGGTTGCAGTAGCAGGCCGTTAGATAACTTCAACCTAGATAACTACCTCAATTAGCGATTTTTCGCCGTTTTGCTACCACATTCCTCGCAAGAACCCTAATATAGAAGAGTAGAGACTAAATCCATCCCGCCGAATTTAGGTAATTTAATAGGCCTTTCATCTTCATCGTTGAGTAGTCTGATAAACTATCACGTAAGTATTTTCCTAAGAACTTATATCTTCTGGACGCTAAAGCCGGGTATTCACAATGAAAATGTATTATTGTTTCTTTCTCCTGCGGGTTTCCAACTGTTTGCTATTGGTTATTTATTTAAAACAGGTCCAATTTATTAAAAATCTGGCATAACGTTGCGTTACAATAATAATACCACGTATAAAGCGTTATAACATCCAATATATTGAAATAAATTAATGTACTCAGTGACTCAAGCCCTATAGGTGATCAAAAACAAGTATATATATATATATATATTTTAAATATCAATTTCTTACTCAAGCTATCACTTTAAGCCATTGACTACGGCTTCTGGATAGTAATATTTCGTTTTCCTGATCACACCGATATGACAATGGATTTGAGTAGAATATTCTTAAAGAACATTAATATATCGATACAGCTTACTTGTCGTATGGAAATATGCCAAAAGGAATATCTGCTAGTTGTTAGTGATTTTCATGCCAAAATTTTCGGTTTCATAGCTGGTTATCTCCAAATTTAAGATTTACACAAACATAGTTCTATTCGTTGCCAAATAGAAATTCGCGAAAAATTGAAATCGTTTTAAAAGAGTATACATCTATTTTCCTGTTTTGGTTCAATCAAATATATGAAATACATTGATATGCGAAAAAGGCTTGGAAAGGGTCAAAATGTACTATCTGCATTGAAATTTCTTAAATTATTGCGTATCAAAAATTTGGAAATTGGTCACAGGCTATTACCGCCAGATGGAACAGTTTTTTGTAGTGCAAACCTCACATAAACAGTTCTAATGTTTTAATTTATTCCTATTATTAAATACATAATAGACTAGATATTACGATTTTGGTAGCATTTCGACATTCCGGGATTCCGATTTATGATTCCATTTTTATAAAATCTGTTTTTCTGAACAACTTTCCAGATTACATTACATGTCTACATATCTCAGATATCAGCTTTAAAGTCGCATATTAAGAATTAGTAGGCGCACCAGATGATACCTTGTTACCAGTTGTTTGCGTAATTGTGCAACGCATATAGAGCTTATATATGTGAATATAAAACGTATAGTCGTAAGCACTGTGGGACTTCTAAATATACAAGAGAATATAAATATAATGAATATGAAATATGATTGTATGGATATAGTTCAAAAACTGTTATAATTGAGACATGATAGATATTGCAAGAAAAATTTATAAACAGTTGATAGAACTATGTTAGATGCTTTAGACACGACTGAAATCTTCAAAATATGTACCTTAAACTTTAAATTGTATCTAAAACAGATATATTTCTATGAAAATAAAAATAGGTATATATATATATTGTGGAATTTATTGGATCTGATATTGGTTAGCATTATCAATGATTAGTTTCGGGTTTCGGTTTCTTCCAGCCTCATCTTCTTGCATTCCTCGTAGCTTCCCTCATGGTGTACGCAATTTGATTGTACACTAAAATGAACACACGTCAAAGCGCCATCCTTCATTCACACGTCACACCATGCTAAACAAATACAAGAGTATATATATTTTATTTTAAATAAATTTAATATTTTTCATACATTTTACTCCGTTTTTTTTGATGATTTTTTTGCGTCCTCCTTAGGAGTTGCTTTGCCCTTCTTTGCTTTGATGACCTGCATAACCTTAATGGCAAACTCATCATTCTCATAACCCTTACAAAGTTCCTTGATTTGTTTCAATTTTTGAGTGAACTTGTTTTTTTCGACTGTCGTTATCAATCGATTGGTACGAATGCGATCAAAATTAGCAATTACTATCTGTAGTTTGTCAATTGGAGTGCGATAGCCAATGGTTTTATGGAATCTTTCCGTTTTCGGATTGTACGGTAATCCTGTCCTCCGCTGGTAATTGCTATCGTAGTACTTTCTGAACCAAATCAGCATTTTTAGATTTGGCATGAACTGATAACGTATAACTCTCGTTATGTTAATGGATTTATTGACCTTTAAGCTGTTGAGAGACTGTTGTAGTAACAAATAATTGCTCATGAAATCACACTCTTGATTTGTGTAGAATATCACTTTTCTCAAGTTGATGGATGACGGGTGTAAACGATGTAGAAGTTGACAGAAAACTGCTCCTGTACACAAATCCTCAACATTGTTAACTTTCGCGTCAACCTTACCATTTATCCAGGTTAAATATTCATTAGACAGATTAGCTGCGGTTGGTGCGAGGGGAAATAGAGAAAATTTGGCCATTTTCTACAAACAGACAAAAAGTTTGAAGTTTACCGAACTATATGAAAAAGTACTTAAAAAAGCTAAAAGAAAAACTGAAATTTTTGATGGCCAAAATCTGCGGATCCAAAGTTTACATTTAATTTTTACGTAACAAATATAAATCTATAACTTATTTCAAAAAATTTTACATATCATATTACTATATAGATTTTTAAAAAAGAAATGATAATGTGATGAAAATAAAATTTTTTTGAATATAGCAAATATTATTTATTGACACAAGTACATTCAGAGTTGTCAATGTTTAACAATTGATATATTTGACAGTTTTATGGTAATTTGTGACGTGTGCGAGTTAGGCTAAGTTGATTCTAATCCAAATAAGAATTTTTTGGAATTCTTTGCACTGCACACATTTAGCCATTTATCAACACGTATCGACACATCACTACATTATCGGCACAACCTAGAATTTCCCTCATTTAGAACACAACTTAGCCTAACTCGCACAGGTCCTTAGAAAAGTTCATAAGCACGATGTCATACAATTATAGACAGTAAATTGTCAAATGGTTGCTGCACTTTTATGCTCCTTTTAGGTCATGATTCATGACCATTAAGTCATGTTATGTCGTGGGCCAAATCACAATTGTCTATTTCGTACTTTAGTACCACTTTAGTGCTTTTAATTTTTGCCCAAATTGAAAAGGTAATTATTTTTGTGTGAATATGTAAGCATAGAGCTCTGGGTTCATGTTATGTAGACAGTTATGGTTACACCAAATAAAGAGGTTTTTTCGAACAGTAGTGAACTATAACAACAAAAATTCATTTTATATTATTTTAATTAATTAAATTTTTGGCTGACCATACAGCTGTTTCAAGTATTGTCAAATACCAAATACCCATCATCAGTGGTCTTGGAAATAATTCTTATATTTAATTATTCGTAAATAATTTTTTGAAACTGCAAGTACCAGGAATCGAACTCGTGGCCCTGCCAAAGTCGAAGCTCATAGTCAACGCACCTTAACTAACTGGCCCAAAGCCGTATTTGACTTATATGTTAGCACATTTTTCTAAAGTTTTGTTACCAATTAGTTTTGTGACTTAATGATCATGACCTAACAGAACGTATAAATGCCGTAACCCTTCATCATTTGACTATCTGCATAATATAACCATTAGCTTTTATAATACTTTCACAATTTCTCTCTAAAGCTTTATGGTCATCGAAAAAATTTGACTCAACGTAGTCAATTTTTTCTACTTTGAGAATCTTCTATTTTCTATCAGAAATAGAAACTCTGCAAACGGGTATAAAAAATATTAATAAAATAAAAATTCATACTTTTTGATTTACTCTAAATAAATCTGCGATTAAGAGAAATGCATATTCTTTTTCTTTTTTCAAAAAATTATATATTATTGAAAAAAAATCGTATGTGAAAGTGAACTCAAAATTCTTAAGCGATCTTTGACCGACCTAGGATCTCCAGCTTTAGTACAATTGTTATGCAAAATATCCATAAAAATGGTTGAAGTAAGAATACTACAAGAAAATTTCTATAAATCTTCAAAATCTTTTCTGTCTGGGCTTCTTAAGTATTAGGTTCAGACTGTCATTTCAGTATAATCGCTAATGTGCACACATCTTTTCCTCAAGAGCAATGTATATATAATATCCATTAAAACACAGATATCGATTATCTGTTTTCATATAAAAAAACAAAAATTATTATGACGAGACCAATTATACTGAACTTAGTGTTATAGTATAAAGTACATAGTTACTTCATTTGTAACTTCCACTGATTTTAAAATAATACATATATATGTATATGAATATTCTATGTTTACTGATAAACATGTACATGTGCATAGGTATATTAAAATAAACTTTATTATATAGTTTTTTCAGACGTTTTGAAATCTCTTATAAATATTCTTGAAATATAGTAGAACTGCTCATGTTTTAGGAACAACCTTAGACTTGGGAATATATTTATTTGGTAATTTTTTAAAACTAATTTCATGACCAGCCAACACACTGACAGACGGTCACTATATGTTAATCTTGTCTTATCACTTCTCATGTCTCTACTGCTTGTTTTACTAGTCCATGCTCTCTGGTTCAGATAAATTGAACTGTTCTAAAGAAAATATACATTTTGATTAATCATATCTTCCTAATATTAAATTTGAAATATTGCAGTATCAATAAGATTTTAGGAGGCTGTATATGTACTATATACTACATTTTCTTGGTGATAACATTTCATATGAAATTTACTACTAATTCACTCAATATTTTGATGATTAAACCTTAATTTCTCTACCATACGCTCATGCTTTCTGGCTTAGATAAAACTAGTCCGCTAAATATTAAGCCCCTCTGCTCATATCTCTCTCCCTTGATCACTGAAATGAAGTTTCCACATTGCTGTAGAAATCTTCCTCACTCATTCCTAATAGGTCTAGTCCGCTAGATATTAAACTCCTCTGCTCATATTTCTCTCCCTTGATTACTGAAATGAAGTTTCCACATTGCTGCAGAAATCTTCTCCACTCATTCCTAAGAGGTCTTCTAATGGATTTAAGTTTCACGTTGTTGCTTTCGATGCTTTCCACCTACTCTGCTCAACTGCGCAGGATTGAACTCCAGTCCCTTGCAGTTTTATTCTGTTCAATTGAATTACAATTGTTGCTATTGTTCCAACCCATATTGATCTATATAGCAAAATAAAAAGTATGAACGGTATAAAAGGTATGAACGATGGGATAGGTAGGTCTTACTTAAAACCAGCCTGGGATAAACAAACAAACCTGGTCACTTACTAATTGTAATAACCAAGAATCAATAAAGCTCAAATTAATGTTCTTATTGGCACATAAGATAGATGGGCGAACTCATGAGAAATAAATCTACAATTAAAACATACATTGATGTGATTATTTAGCAAGTAGTTATACCCTATCCTCAATTAGGCTAGGACACTGTTTTGAAGTATTTTTTTTTCTAATAGAAATAAAAGACGGAGACCTGTTGAAAACTTTATTGCTGTGCAACCATGTACTTAAAAAGGAGCCAGCATCTATATGGAGGGTTGTTTGCGCACAGTTATACTCAACCACATTGATGTTAACTCCATTACAACAGGTACCGACGTATTATTGAAATGGGATCGACAAATGCATCGCATAGGGAGGGTGAAAGACATCGTGATATTGCCTTTAGAATGCACACCTCTATGGCAGGCAAGTAAATATATACTCAAAGAGCATTTGTAGTTGGGCTACAATTTCGGGATCGGGTCAGCTACTGTAGGGAACGAATATAATTTAGTCGATTGTTCGATATTATTGTACAAATTGCACTTATGCAACAATTATCTAAATGTTACACTTTTGATACACTTTTGATAATAAGAGTAAGATAAGATTTGTCCAAAAAGATTTTATTTTTATTATAGTCCCATCGGCGACATTCATTGTGGTGTTTATAGTTTCGTCCAAATGATATATCAAAAAAGTCGCGCCTTACAGGATTAGACATTTGTTTCAAATACAATTAGATCAGCAATATAACAAGTAAGAACAATAATCAATTTATAAATCTAAATAAACAAAGTTATAAATACAAATACTAATACAAATAAAAATTTAATAACAATAATAAGAAATTACCGATAGAATTACATTTAAAGTTTTATTCAATTAAATTTTACATTTTTTTCATTTGTACAGAGTTCCACACTCGCATCGCTTTAGGAAGCTTACACTATATTTTAAAATGTTAGCTATACAATATTTAAATTGTTCGTTAAAACAATAAGTGCAATTTTCTTAATATAAATAATTAAATAACTTATATAATGATTTAAGCACCACAATTCTATGTGATTAAAATTCAGGTTTAAAAATAGAATGCATAATCCATAACTAAAAAATTACTTACAATCACTTTATAAACATATATTACCTTCAGAACAGGGCTTTGCGAAGAATCCATTAAAACATATAGACTTTATTTACATTTAGAATATTTATTATAAGCATTCTTGCAGTGGCGTAACTACATTTTTTAGGCCTGTAAGCAAATTCTAACTAAGGGGCCCCTACCAACATACTAAGGGGCCCCTCTTTTTATACTCTTTACACAAAAAAATGTGAAAAGGATATATAAGGTTTGTCAAGATTTTCGTAACGCATTAAAGGAAACGTCGGAAATACCATTAAATATATATCAGTACAATATATATATACTTTTTCAGTTCAAACTACTCTCTCAGCTTTTGAACTCTTCGAATGAAACTTTACACACATACTTTTCGGGAGCCGACCCTGTTCACCATTTGATTTGATTGAAATTTGACGTCTATTTCTTGTAGCTGTGATATAAACTTAACAATCGGATATGAGATTTCTTCGTTTTTAATAAAGGTATTCAAATGGAATTTGGTGTATACAGTACTGATATTTGCAAAAGACAACGTACAAAATTATTTTTAAATGGGTTTAAGTCTAGATATAGCTTTCATATAAGTCTCTCGATCAAGACACATATTTATCTTAGAAAAACTATTTTATTTCATAAATAGGTTTAATATTTTATTTGAAGTACATACATATTATGTACTTTAAATTTAAAATTTACGTATCTTTTATAAAATGCAATATGAAGTTATTCCAACAAAAAACGTTTCGTCCCACTTTTGAGAATTTATTAAAAATAAATACAATGAATACAAAAATTTATGGTGGGGCCCCCTAAATTCGGGGGCCCGAAAGCGTTGCTTCCAGTTGCTCCCCTGTAGTTACGCCACTGCATTCTTGTCTACAACAAAAGAACAACTCACTCCACCCTTTTCAGCTTTTCACCAAAAGAGCAACAAACTTATTTATTTGAATTTTCAATAAATGCGAACTTTGCAAAATAATATATAAATTTAATTTAATAAATCTCTAAGATCTCTTTCAAAAAATAATAATTAATAATAATTAATTTTTTTTTATTTTTTTTGAGTTTTCGTAACCATCTTAAGATTGTTTTATGCGTTCACACGAGAGTTTTGCATGTAATCTTAGCTGTCAATTTTTGACAGCTATGTTAAGATTATAAACAAAACTCTAGTGTGAATCCAATATAACCATCTTATTAAGATAGTTACGAAAATTCAAATAAAATAAAAAGGTTAATTTTTGCAAACCAAAAATTAAGAACAAAAACCGATATTATACCGAAGACAAACATAGAACTGAACCAACATATATTTTTTTTTAATTGAACCGGAACAAAAACAAAGTTCGGATTGCAAGTCCTTGTTATTATCAGGAACCGTAACAGTTATCATCAGTTATCATTAAAAAAATAAAAATCAACTTATAACTGTTATTATTTGCATTTTAAAATAAAAGTTAAAAAATAATAATTAAATTTCCTTATATTATACTCATCAAAAATAATTATTATCTTGTGCTTTTTATTTTTTCATGCAGAAATAACACTTACATTCTGCTTTTTATTTTAAAATGCACAAATTATTGTTATTTTTGTCTTATAAATATAAAAATCAAAAATAACTCTTATTTTTCAAAATAAAATATAACAACTCACACTGGAGTGAAAAATATTTTTAAAAACAAAAATATAAAATGCATTTTTCATACAAGGTAGTTGTTTTTGTAATCTCATATAAAATGTATTAAAGACACGCCGTGTGAGTAATATTTTATTTTCAAAAATAGGAGTTATTTTTGATTTTTATATTTATAAGGCAAAAGCAGAATGTAAGAGTTATTTTTGATAAATATAATATAAAGCAAATTTAATTAGTATTTTTTGAGTTTTATTTTAAAACCCACTCATATATATAAAGCATGCATAATATTAAAGATAAAAGTTGTTAGAATGATAATTATATACTTAAATATGAGTTTAGACAACTTTTTGTTGTTGTTTTTCTTTTTTTAAACATTTTTAAAATAACTGTTTTTTTTGATCCCTGATTATTATAATTACAATCAAATCTTTAATTTTTCAGTTAATAAAACTGCTTCTTAGATTATCTTATGTTTTGATTATTTTACTAACTGCTGAAATGGATAACATCGGGAGTGCGAGCGTGTGATTTACGAAAATAAAATACACAGCGATTTAAGAGTGAAATACACAGTAATTTGAAAATCGAATCGTAAAGAAACATTAAAACATATTCTGAAGGCACAAGAAATGAGAGTGACCGAAGCAAAATGTTACCATAATTTCATTAACTCTGCATCTACACTGGTGGCTTGTTTTTTGGCAAGAGATTTTTGCATACACCTTCATTTTTTTTCACTAGCATTAAGACAGTTCTTGTAATATATATTCTCTTTTGAAGGTAAAAATCTTGCCAAATTCTAGCCAGTCTAGACGCTGAGTAAGAAAGGCACTCAAATGCAGTGCTTCTGTGCAGAATGCTATCTTTAATTGCTTTCACTCAAATAAAGGACATGACCAAGAGTGTTTGTAAATCCCGCAAGCAACGCACGCAGCGCTATTATCTCTTCAGACAGCAAGTGGACCGGTTAAAATAGAAGCTAATTTTAATTTGTTGCATGCATTATTTATTATTAATTTTTCTTTATTCATTGGGAACTAACCTTAGGGAAGTGTTTGTGTGTGTTTTGTAGTTGTTATTGTTGCCGAGCCCATGAAGAACTTAAATTCTTAAATTCTTAAATTAATACATAATAATGTCGATTATGTAGTAGTGAATTACAGTTCCATTGATTAACATAACTAAGAAACTAAGTGTTCATTTTTTTTTAGGTTTTTGAATTGAAAAAATAAAAATCATCGTCTTCGACCGTTTCATTGCCATTCCCGGTTTCGTGCTCATTAACTACGGTGTGATCTGATGTCGATACAATGGAATGTACTAGATTTCATCCAGTCACCTCTTCGCCCAATAAATCCAACTTGACGACATCCTCTGGTAAACACTCAACATCCACTTCGGATTCTTGCGTATTGATGCGGTTCAATGTCATCATAACATCAGGTGTGGAAGTAGTGGCGCGGTGTGTTGAATTTGCAGTTTGTAGAACAGCAGCTTGTACAGCTGCGTGCGCTGCAGCTGCTGCAGCTGAGGTAGACGGCACAACCTTAGTACTACCAACAACAAGACTTTGATGATGAGCTGTTGAATGTTGTGTAGACGTCGGCATCGGAGCCTGATGTGCCTGAATGATAACATTATTGCCGATTGTTGCAATATGCGATGAGGTAGTCGATGCAGTGCCAGTTATTGCCCCCGTTGCATTGGAGGCATTTGCTGCTGCTGCAGCGGCTAACAATTGTTTCTGTTGTTGCATTTGCTGAAATTGTGCCAAAGTCAGTGTTGTCGTTTGGGGTTGAGTGTGTATGATTTGCTGCAATTGCTGCGGTTGCAAGTGAACAATCTGAGGTTGAGTTTGGTGAGAAGTGGAATTGGAATTCGTTGCAGCTTGTATTATGATTTGTTTGGGTGTCGTTTGTAGGGATGTTGTCGATGAATGCTGCTGCAATTGTTGAACAGGTATTATGTGCTGCTGAATTTGGACAGTGGGTTGTGGATGTTGAGTTACTTGTGTGGAGTTCTGTTGGTGTTGATGATGATGATGCTGATTTTGTTGGTGGTGTTGGTGTTGTTGTTGTTGCTGCTGCTGCTGTTGTTGCAATTGTTGTTGCTGTTGTATTGCATTTAATTGCTGCTTAATGCTTTGCGGTTGATGATGTTGAACATGTTGTATTGTTTGTTGTACATGCTGTAATTGCTGGGATGGCACCTGTTTTGCTGGTATACCAGCGTCTTCAAACGCCTTCTTTTTTAAGGCTTGTCGTATTTGTGAACTGAAATAAATAATAAAAGTAAATGTATTGTTTGTTTTAAAGATATTGATATGTTTTGTCCTCTCGCTATAACCTTTGCTTAAGCGGGTATTACACATGATTCCTGGTGGTTTACTTGGCGCGTTAAAATACAAAATTTATGCCAAGTCTCATGTGTAATAGCAAAATTTACAGGAATTACAAGCGCAGCGATAGAAATCGAAATATATTGATTTTTCGTCTGTCTTGCTCGTTTTTTTTCGTATACAAACGGATTTTTGTCGGCTTCAATGTAAATTTCATTATGTTTTAAGCCATGAATGCGAAAACATCATTTCAATGCGCGCATAATACTATTTTTTGTAGTAGTATTTGCTGAAGAGGGTTCAAAATGTCGGCAGTGAACGATGTGTAATAGCAAGCGACGTCGCTCCAAGACATCGCACCAAGAATGATGTGTAATACCCGCTTTATAAAAGATATTGCAAAAGGGCACTTCAAACTTAATTTCTCATATTAATTGGACACTTACACTGTACGATTTTTTATGCACAAACTTATTTTATTAAGATCATCAGAAAATCGCATTATTGACGCATGCAACATATCAATTTCTTCATCAGTCCATTTGCTGTATTTATTTCGTTACGTATATTTGCAGTATTGTTAGAAGAGTCATAGCGAGAGTACAAAAATTAGAAAAAAAAAAGATATATCTTATTAACTTTTAATTGTTTATGGCAGAAAGCATAGTCCAAGATAGTATTTATTAACACCAACTGTTATTATTCTTAACGATTCAATATTTTAACTGAGGTATTAACTGAAGGCAAAATCTGTATATTTATTTATTGTGCTCAAACCTCTATTTTCTCAACCAAACTGGAGCTTTGTCACTGTCTTGCCCTCATAACCAAATCATGATTACAAATCCACGCCCTCAGCATATTGTACAATGACAATACCCGGACACACATAAATACAACGACATACATAAATAAGTAAACTACGGGGTCAGTTTTTCAATCTTCATCAAATCAATGGTTATTTCTTAACCACTTGTTTAGAATCTGCGGTTACCTATTACCTATTTGCATTCAGTTACCATTTTCATTGTATTTATTAGTAATGTCAATAATAATCATTGTTATCAAGTATATATAAATAAATAGGCTATGGGCCGAATTTTCACTTTTGGTTAAATCAATGGTTATGTTACCATAGATTTTTTTTAACCACTTCTTTAGAATCTGTGGTTACTTGTGTGCATACATTCATCCATTTCATTGAAGCGAGCGACTGTCAAAGCGAACTAAGTAACATCAAACCTATTCAGAAGTGAAACTAGCACAAATAAGGTTGTATTATATACATTTTTTAACGTATATAGTAAGAACATAAGTTAAGTAATATATATACTTAAGCCAATAACTGACCTATTGTAACAGCATTTACATTAGAACTTTCTTTCTGAGAGAATGTTAGCAAAAAGCATACTTACTGTCTACACTTCTTCTTTGTCATCACAGCTGGAACCAAAGCGTGGAGCTGTTGCATTTAACATTCTGATATGAATTTTTATTGGACAGAGTCTCATAACTATAACCGAGGCATACAGATGACACCCGAGTGTTAATGGTACAATATCCAGTATTAAAACTACAGCATCATTCAGTTAGTACATAATGCACCATTCTTATTTTTTATATTTGTCATTTTGAGCGCTTCCCACCAAATTACAATACCCGTAATACCAGAGAATCATTCAGGCTATGAAGTAGGTCGACCTTTAAATTTAAGGAGTCATATACTAATTTTTACCAGTCCTTTTTGAAATGCTTAACAGGAAAGATAAAATGCTGATAGTTCTAAAATCTTTTACGTTGGTATGTGAGGATTTTTTTATTTCTAGAACTAATATGACTATGCTTGATTTCATTTGATTTCCTTTACAGCGATTCTATAATAGAATATGGGTGCAAATTTTTCTTAAATTGAATAGAGAAAATATTGCCAATTCCTGGAGATATCATGGGTTTAGAATTGATTACTAAAATTGTCTTATTTTTCAAGTTTACCAAATTCAAAGCTCCGCTTCGATGTTATATTAGTATTTATTAAAATAAAAAATAAGTTTTCACAGGCTTCTTTAGAAAGGTGGTACACGAATATTCTAAGAAAATAAAAAGCTGTATTGCTTTGAACTTAACGAGTAGCTCCACGACGTAGACTCGGTTGTGCTTGGAAGACTGATGAATCAGTACATAAAGCGAAAGTTCAAACATGACTTACTACAACGATTAATATGCATTTTTAATACGTCACCACGCCCTACTTTGTTCAAATAACTGATAGAAGAAAAACTAATACCTAGAGTGAAAATAACCTGATCTCTTGTAATATAATGTACCTAACAAAAAGAATTTATTTAAATTTGCATTGGAAATAAATTAAATTTCTAGCTAAATTTACTCGATAAAATAGTTTCCAAGAATGAATGCCGAAGCTATTCTATGGACGCGTAAATGTTCAAATTGGAAAGGTATTTCTATTCTACCATAAATAACCAAAATACTGCACAATATTATATTAAATCGTATTATGGATACCCTAGATGAAATAATATCAAAAAAACAAGCTGGATTACGCCGTAACCATTCGTATATTGATCACATTAACACCATGAGGATTATTATCGAACAATCTGCTGAGTTTAATGCTCCGCTCTATATGACTTTCATTGATTATGAAAAAACTTTTGATGCTCTTAAAAGGAATACTATTTGGGTGACTCTGGAAGCATATAGGATTCCTCTCAAGTTGATAGGCATAATAAGATGCTACATATCAAAGATGCTACAAATAAAGTTTAATATGCGGGCCAACTAAGTGAGTGTTTCCCAATAACATCAGAGTTTAAAGAAGGTTGTGCTCTGTCCCCACTGATGTTCATAACGACACTAGATATAATCTTTAACGACGCTAAATTTAACGAACGAGGTATACAATTTAAATTATATGAAACGCTAAACCACTTGACTTACGCCGATGATGTTATATTACTTTCTTCCAATCACAGTGAAATGCAAAGCATGCTTACCTGACTAATGAGCGTCTCTTTGAAAGCTGATCTTAAATTTAATACGTCAAAATCATAAGCTATGCGTGTCTGCAGTTAAAATTTATCTGCCTTTAAAGTTTATGATTGTGATATTGATGTCGACGATTTTGGGTACCTGAGAAGCTTACCCGCGAGGCTGGCACTCTCTTAGAAATATCTAAACATCTTCAAAAGCAAAGCGTGCCTTTGCCTCATTAGCTAGAGTTTGGAAAGCCGCTAACATCGCTCTAACTCTACTAAAGTGGAAATGTTCAACGCTCGTGTAAAAACTGTCTTGTTGTATACCTGTGACACATGGCATATAACAAACAACGCCGTTAACAAAATGCAATCATTTTTAAGTCAATGTTTACGGTGCATTTTACATATTTTCTGGCCACATATCATCACTAATGCCAGACGCTTGGAGATTACCAAGCAAATTGATATACTAAATAATATCAAAAAGAGAAAATATGGTTGACTCAGTCATACCCTAAGAAAGGATACCCGCGCAGTATAGTTCGCTCATCATAAGAATGGAACCCGATTAAATCAAGAGGAGAACGTTCAAAGACAACATGGAGGCGAACAGTATTCGCCGAAACATCGAAATCGTTCAACGAGCTTAGATACATGGCACGGAGTAGAGAAAACTGAAAACTTTTTGTAGGTAGACTAACTTCTTAAATATAAAATCAATTTACAATTGTATATAATCTTGGAACATGTCATAATATTATTAATTCTATGGAAATATAACACCGTTTAATTTGTGACTCATTGAAATGTCGAGAATTAGTTTATTTTTTACATTCGCTAAGTAAACAGATGTGGATGATACCTTGATAAAATAATTATAATTATTTTTATTTAAAAAAAAGCTGTTTTTTCTCGGAAATAGCAAAAAAAAATCGTAAAGTCACGTATTATAAATATATTCCACGTGACTTGGAATGATGAAAATTTTGTGATAGAAACGAATTTAAAATAGATTGATAAGAAGTCTTCTCATAAACTATATTGGTTGTTAATTGATTGGGCTATAAAAATATGATATTATTATTAATATAAACTAAGCGAATACGTAGTTTGAAAGTCTATTAATAATTTTAATAGTATTTCAAATCTGTAGTTATGCCACTAGAATTATTTTGAATTTTAACGTATAATTTTTCTTACCCAGTTGGTGCGTCCGCGTTTGGATGCAACTGCATTGTTAAATCTCCCAACCGACTGAAAGCTTGTCCAGCAGCGGTGAAAATTTCACCAACCTAAAATTGAAAATTTATTTATCTTTACTTATATTTAAAGATTATATATGAATATTTCTTTATGACAATACTTTGATATTTGCTACCATATTATTCTGGAATTATAGACTTCTGGAACTTCTAGACTTTTCAGTAATTTATATATTGTGGCGGTGAACAGTCTAAATCTGTATTTGTTTACTTTTTAAAAAATTCATAATAAAAAAACACTGAAAGCGGTTTGCGTTGGATTTTTCCCCACTCCTCACTTCAATATAACGTAAACGAAACGGCGAGAAACGGCGACTGCTCTGCAGGAAGCCAATGACAATCGTAATTTTCGCGCAAAAACGCCAATTATTTATTTATCCCAAAAATACAAAATTTTCTTTGTCAGACTTTTTCACTTACTTTTGTTGCTGAATTCATACTGTCCGTACTGAATTTACTAATATTAATAGTAAACTATTTGCTCAAAAAACTTGCACAGTTGTCAAAAAACAAAAAATGAGAAATTGACATTTGACTTTTCCGATGTTTGGGATTTTGTGGGATTTTTTGTGCGGAATAATTACCCAGAGAAATTATACTGTCAGAAATGCTTAAAGCGACATCTGTAGGTGAAATATAATTACGTTAACGTAATGAATTTATTGATTTTTTTGTAAATATATATGAAATCTCTTTTTTATTTTTATTCATTATGCTAAACTAATGCTAAACTGCTGACATGTTAAAATGTTAAGTGTGTGCTAAATAATTTGTTTAAAATATCAATATTTTACCTTTTAACATATTGTCATGTAGTAACACATGCTAATTTGTTAAATAGTTAGAAAATTTGCAATTTAAATTAACGAATGAGATCTTGTCAGTTTATTTGTATGCAATTTTTAAGTGCTGGCTTTAAAGTTTCAACAAGTTCTAGTCATATGGCAATATATATATATTTACGTTATTTTTATTAACCCATTTCACATATTAGTGTGAGTTTAGCATGCTAAATATATATCATGACAGAAACCATTAACACTATTAATAAAAGGACTAAGTTAAAAATATTGAAAACCATAGGAAATACGGTTATCAACAATGATCGGATCAATTGTGTAGCATGGTCCTGACGTTCTGAACTAAAATGTGTGGAATCTACATTTATAATATTATAACAGTCGAACACTCTAAAGCCTCTACTAAATAAAATATATAGAAAAGTAAAATTATATTTATAATATTTTATTATTATTTCTGATTTTAATACCTTATTTTTTACTTTGTAATATTTAAGACCATTGGTATTACTTTGAAAGTTTAACTTGAATGATTTTATATATAAATATGTATATTTGCTATGAAAACTCTGTTTAGCAGATATTTAGCATAACCCTACTTTTCTTAATTTAAGAGAGGGGTTGGGTCACAATTATTCAGTGGGTCTAAATAAAAGAGTTTAGAGAAATTGTTCATTTTAGTGGGCAGTTCATGTAACAATGGTAGAGCTTAGACTATATATGTATATGATACAGTATACTGTCGATAAGATTCAAACACAAGACTGCAGTAATTCGGGTACCACACTGTCTACATTTTTTCAATGTAGAACACTCATTTTTATATTTTCTATTTATTTTATGAGTATAGTAGTCGTCAATCCATGTAAGAAATATCCAATATTATGAATGCCTAATTTAGCAAACCTAAAATTCTACCGTTGACTGTATAATTAGTTATATAGAATAATTAATTCTTTAAAGAATTTTGCAACTGTAATAACATTTCCGACTCTATAATGTCGATCAGGTAGAAATAGGACCATTAACATATGTTGCTATTCTAATTGTTTGATTGATATTTATTGGCCATTTTTTGTGACAGGCAAATAGGGAGTCTGCTCATATTTCGTCTGCACCCAGGTCAAGGGTTACATGGCCAACATATTTGAAATGTAGCACATCAGACTTGCCACATAAAAGCAAATCAGAAGTATATATACTAATATTTGTCTTAACTGAGCTGTAGACATCATAAGGTTAAGCTCGGCCTACCCTGTAGTATCTCCTATTACACATGTCTATCTGTGCTCTTTAAAAAAAAAAACAGAACACCTGTTGTGTCTATGTCCAGGTGTGTCCAAAACCAGGCTTAAACTTTTGGGTGCCCCCTTCTTTAACACACTCAGCGATATTTCCCGCATTTGCATTGACCGGACACTCGCATTTGTCAATACTTTTTGCAGATTTTAACTTAACCATTCTTCTACCCATTATTGAGAGCAATTGTGGAATCAAAACAGCTTTCTTAGCTAATTGAGGTGGATTTATTCCTCCACTTATTTCAACTATCTAACTAACTAACTGGATTCCCATAACATTGGAGAGTATGGAAAATAAACTCATAGATAGTTGTGATGTGCTTCACTGAAGACATATAAATTCCTTTGTTAATATTACGTTGGTGAGGAATATAATGAAAAACACTAACACTTTACCATAGATCACTGTATGCTGTATTACCATGCCTGTGATCATTTCACATCCTCGAGTTCTCATTACTTTTAACTGCGCTATTGCGCCTAGAATTTTGTTGAGAGATCCTTTTGTTATTGGAAGTACTGACTTCATTTAGATATTTTAATATTAAATCAATTCTTTGAAGTACTTTTTATTGGTCTTAAGTAGAAAATAAATAATTCTTGAATTAACTTTTAATATACCAGAGAAATCCCATCTACAAATCACTAGGAACCCAAAATCAAATAACTAGGAAGAAGAATATCTTGTTTTTAGTACAACACAGTGGACCAATAGGCGGTTTATGTGATATCTGTCACAAACTTATATGCTCTTCAAACATGCGTTTAAAACCGTTTAATGTGAACAAACTCCTAACTCACTCATTGTGAAATGTGTATTGTCTTTAGGCCTCTAAGACTCTCTAAGAGTCTTAAGCTTAAATTAAATAATTTCTCTTTAGAAAGAACGCAGTGTGCTTAATTGCAGACCTATTATATAATAACAGTAATATGTTTACAGCTTAGAAACCTTTGGAACTCGTGCTATGTAGAAATTTGGTCCAATCGTATATATGAAATTAGTACTTCAGTATAATGCAATGTCATAAACGGACATTGTCTAGAGGCTATCAAAATTACTGAGTTTGAGCAAAAAATAAAATCTTTTGGTAACAGCTGATTTAATAGCATCTGATGTAAACACTTAGCATGCTTAAATAGCTTAATGTGAACTAATTCCTAACGCACGCTGTGTGAACTGCGTATTGTTCTTAAACCTGACTTAACCTAACTCTTTAAGAGTTTTAAGCTTAAATTAAATAATACACTTTTTTAGCAACAAGTTTATTTAATTTTTCCTTTATTTTTAGTGAGTTTTTGTCAAATACATTATACATAAAATTTTTATTTTAATTTAATTCGAAATTATTTATGGCTTTAGTTGGGTACACAATTTAGTTTTGTTTTATAGAAAGTTTCTTGCTAAAACTAAAATTATGATTTAAATGAGTTTTTTTTTTACCAAAGTTTTAAAATAAGATTTAGCTTTTAGTATATTTTTAATTTTAAGTTTGCATTTACTTTTGTTCTGTTTTAAATTATTATATATATATATATATATATGTATTTATATATATATGTTTAATTATAATATAGGTTTTTTACCATACAAACTATAAAATATTTGTTTAATTTGAATTTTTTTTTTAAATCATATACACGTATATTTTTAAAATATAAAGTATAGATTTAAAATTATATTTTCCTTTAATTTTTCCGTCTTGCAATAAATATTCAAAATGTTGTTTTTTTTTTTTAATTTTAATTTTGAATTTAATTAAAAATGCGCTCGACAATAAAATACAATCAGACTTTAAAAGTTTTAACTAAAGTTGACTACAATAAAATTAAGTTATATTAAAAAAATTAATAAAATCGCACAAAGTTACTGAATAATATTAAATTTTTATAGAATATGAAAAAATTTATATTTCAGCTAAAAGAATTATATATCATATAAATAATATTTATTTATTCATTTTTTATTTACTTAAACAAAGAGTTGCAATTCTTTTTTATCTATTTTTTATAATAGTTTTCATTAAAAAAAAATTATGAACAATTTTTTATATATTTTTCACTTCACTTTTTGGTAATCACAGTTTTATTTATTTTTTTTATTTTACTTTTATTTCACTATATGTGTATTTTTTATTTGCTATTTGTTTTTGTAAGTGTTTTATTTGTGTAAAATTGTTTTATTCTTTTTTTTAAAGAAAAAAAAAAGAAAATAGTTTTTTCGTATAATAAAAAATAAAAAATATACAAAAACTCACTACAACTCTCTTACATGCATTTGCCATTGTTTTTGCTTTTCATTTCAATGTTCTTTCAGTATTCATTCCTAAGCTTCTAGAAGCCTTCAAGAACGTACGCTCCTTTCCACTCATTTTCATGGAAGTTAACTTTTAGCTTCTCCAGCTCCTCTAGTTCTTTAGTTCTCCAGCTTCTCTATACAGTATTCATTCCTAAGCTTCGAACGCTCTTTACGCCTCATCTTCCACTTTCATGGAGGTTAGCTTCTAGCCCTCTAGCTCTTTAGTTCTCCAACTTCTCTATTCATGAACCCTCATCTGTGACTCCTTACTTTAACAATTTTTAATATTATTATTATTATTATTTGTATATTTAATATATTATTTACTATTACGTATTTTATTTTTTAAATTTGTTTCGGTTGAACAACAAATTTTTATTGCACGTAGATTTATGTATAAATTAATTATTATGTTTAAAATTTCCTGAGTAGTTCATTTTTCTTCGATTTGATGGAGCTTTAGTATAAGATACAAGATACTTTTTCACTTTAAAACTTATTTAAGCTTATTTATGTAAATTCATGGTGTAAAAATGTTTAAATGCAAAAGTTTACATCGTCGTGAGTCTTAATAATGCCCTGAGTTTGCTATCTTTTCATTAATCTTCTTATATTAATTATTACGTTTTTTTCTCTTTATGCAATAATTAATATGTATTTTCTTAATTATTTATTATTTTTAACTTAACAATTTTTACTGAAGTTTTTTGTTTTAACTTTTATTTTAAAAGTATTTCTAAGGAAAATTCAATCTCTTTAACTATTTTGCTTATGAATTCATATTTCAAAATTTTGCGTTTTTTCAGTTCAGAACATGCCAAATTATATATGAAAGTTTAACAGAAATTCATAAAAACTAATATATATATATATATAGTAAATAAATTAAAAATAAATACAATAATATACAATAAAACAATAATTCAAACATTTCTAATATTTTCCTCTCTCTCCCAACGGAATAGAACTTTCTGCCCGATGAACTCGACTAAACGATAAAAAATTAATGT